CAACTTAATACTACTTATGAAACTAGCTCTTGTGAGCCTCAGATGCCGTCTCACTCAAAGTGATAGCGGATGTTAAATGTTCCCCGGGCCAATTCGCTATATATCCAGGACAGCACAAACTGCAGCCTCTTCCATGTCATTTCGCTACCTTCCACGCGATTCCTCTCTCCTACCGCTACCAGATTATGCCTCAATGTGAATTATCTGGTAGGATCAGGATTAGGGTAAGTACACTTTTATTCCCCTTGCAGATGTTGTTCATCTCTTTCCACCCGTCACGACAGCGAGCTCCTTCCGAAACCACGGGAAGACCTGCCATGCCTTGCGAGCTTTCTTCTCCGCAGCCGTGCCAGACACTACGGCCAAAGACGGGGCGCCTCCATCATCCTCGTGGGCGAGGCCCGCTGTGCGGACGTCAGGAAGGCTGTAGTGCACAGAGAGGTAGTCGACGAAGCGGTCGTGAGCCTCTACCGTCTCGTTCTGCAGGATGGGGCCCACAGCCCCGGCCACGAACTCGGCCTATAGCTCCTTTCCCACAACGCGCTTCGACGAGTCCCAATAAAATAGGTCATGGAACGCCGCCAGGAGGGCCACCTTTCTTGGCTGGGAATGTCTGCTTTCTCCTTGCTCCAGATTAAAACGGCTTGGAGGACACTGAAGGTGCAGGATCTCAGCTCCGATTCTGACCACGCCATCTCACAGGCCCTTCCCTCCGCCCCCACATCAGCGAAGACGCTGGCGGGTCTACATTCAAGGCCGGAAGAAGAACGCACGGAAACCCGTGAGTGCCTCCTTGAGGGCCTTCAACGGCGCACCGTATCCGACCGCGCTGTTGACATTTCCAATGAAGGGCAAGGGGCTTGTCTCCGGGTGGCGTACCGAGATGTCTCCTCTGACGAATGGACGACGGAGGAAGTCAGCGCTAGGCGACCCGGAGTGGGACGTCTAAAATGGAGTAGGTGACCGGTCGGCGAGACCTGTCCCGACATTCGTCGAACCTTCCACCTTCAAGCCAACACAGATTCGCCCAATATCAGCTCTTCGAGATGTTTCCCGCGATTCCCCTGAAATGGGGTAATGACACCAAGGGGCATGCCTCCGAGAGGCGTACCGCACATCAGCCACACGA